CCGCACAGCATGGCTTTGTAAAACAACGGTCGACCACTACTAATCTTCTCGAATTTTCTACTCTCATCCACCGTAGTTTCCTAAATAAATGCCAAACTGACGTTATTTTTACTGACTTCAGCAAGGCATTTGATTCAGTAAGTCATAGCCTTCTACTTCATAAACTATCTCTTCTTGGTTTTCCACCTAATTTACTTAACTGGATTTCTGCCTATCTTTCAAACAGAACTCAACGCGTTCTCTTCAATAATCAACTTTCCTCCGTCGTAAATGCTTTTTCTGGTGTCCCCCAAGGAAGTCATCTGGGGCCACTACTTTTCGTTCTTTTTATTAATGATCTTCCAAAAGTAGTGTCATTTGCCTCTACTCTAATGTATGCGGATGATGTAAAAATTTGCCTATCATTCTCTGACCAAATGTCATACCTTCGCCTACAGTCGGACATTGATCAATTACAATTATGGTGTTCCAACAATTTGTTGCTTCTTAATCACACTAAATGCAAATGTATGACCTTTTACCGGACTACAGCCCACATACACTCTTACCATCTTGGAAACTCTACTTTAGAACGTATTGCGCAAGTAACTGATCTTGGTGTCCTATTTGATAGAAAGTTATGTTTCAAAAACCATATTTCTGTCATCATTGGCAAGGCTAAGGGTGTTTTAGCCTTCATAAAACGTTGGGCCAAGGAGTTTGACGACCCGTATACAACAAAGACTCTTTACATTTCCATGGTTCGCCCCATTTTGGAATACTGCTCATGTGTTTGGAGCCCTCAATACATTGATCAACAAAAATTAATCGAGTCAGTCCAAAAGCAATTTTTATTATTTGCTCTCCGACAACTGAATTGGGACCCGGTGAGGCGTTTGCCACCTTACTCTTCAAGGTTAATGTTAATTGATCTAAAGTCTTTAAAACATCGTAGAATGTGCAGCGGAGTAATTTTTTTGCATAAGCTTCTCACAGGTGAGGTGAATTCTGGCCTCCTCTTAAGCTATATTAACATCGCAGTTCCCTCAAGATTTACTCGTACTTTTCGACTTATTCACTTGCTAATTTGTAGATCCAACTTTGCCCTTCATGAGCCCTTTCGGGTGCTTTGTTCCAATTATAATGCAGTATACCCTGCAATATCTTTCGAAAATTCTATTGATCGGATATCAGCTAACATTTATGCTTTTCTTGAATCATATAATATTTAGTTAGTTTTAAGTTATATATATTTTTAGCATATATGTGTAAGTTAGCAATTCATTGTTAACTATAAATCAATAAATAAATAAATTAAGAAGGAAATATAAGATTTGCATCTCAGTTGAGGCGCCGTAAAAACACTTTTAAAATTCATCACCTACACTTTGAGCTGTTCAAATTTAGTAAGATATCCCGACACGAGTTTTGAATGAGATTCAGATCGGATTGTAAATCTTTGTTATACTGCAGGCAAAATTTAACATCATCGTACATAAGTACGCGAAAATGATTTTTAACCAAGGGGAGGTCGTTAATAAATAAAGTAAAAGGTAGCAGACCGAGAAGGCTCCCTTGTGGGACGCCGAAGGTAGCACGGAGAAACTTAGAAGTTGAATTTAAAAAGTCGATTCTTTGAGTCCTGTCACTCAGATAACTTTAGGTCCATCTAAGTTGATAGACTGGAAACCCTAGAGTTTCCGAACCAAAAGTAGGAGATTTAGAAAGTCAAATGCTTTTGTAAAGTCAGTATGAATGAAATTTTTGAAGATTGCTTTTGAAGTTCTTATCACAAATGAAGTGAACTGCAAAAGGCTAGTGGTGGTTAATCTCCGTTTCATAAATCCGTGTTGACACTGAGAAATAACTGATTTACAAAGATACTTCAAAAGTGGAGCTATAATATTTTCATAAATCCTTGGAATAGCCGACAACTGAGATATACCTCTATAATTCTTGACATTCAGCTTACTATAATTTTTGTGAAGAGGAAATACAAATGACTCTTTTCAAACATGTGGAAATTGGAAGGTTTCAAGTGATAAGGGTAACCATGTAAGAAGGGGTTTGCACAGAGCTTCCGCCCAATAGCTAAGCACGCAGACAGGAATTCCACCTGGCCCTGGCGAATAAAAGTTAGTTTTTTGAGAGATCTGAAGAGGAAGATGACACACTGCTCAGGCCTCGACTGCGAAGTCTAACTCCCAAGGGCCGCTTCACTTCTATCTTAGCCTTGAACTCTTTTACCGTTATATTTTGCAGTCAACAGTTGCCAGAGCATATGACTTCAAAGACTTCGTTTCGAAGAGTAATCTTGAAAGAAAAAGGGTTCTGAAAGATTAAATGTCCCTACCGTAAGACAAGTTGAGTTGTTCCACCTTCACTTTTATATAAAACAGCACATCAGAAGATGTTTGAGTAGGGGAAAGTCGAGAAACTAATATTTTTTTTCAGTGGAACCACAGAAAGTGTTTTGGAGGTGCAGGCTAAGTTTCTGCAGAACCAACTTGGGCCGGTACTCCGGACAAAGTATTCCCTTGTCGTGGTAAAAGGTACAAGTGTTAAGTGGGTCCACTGGTTCACCTGTAGCATACAAATTATTACTTTTGTAAGCCCCTGGCTGCGCACCCTCCGCTCCGGATTGTTCGGGCTCCGAATTTTTTTTGCCGATCTTAGCTGTCTTGGAGGGGTTGCTATAGTCGAGTTTCCCGACTATTACACTAGTCGGCATAATTATTTTATCGAAAAACAAATGGTGCATGTTGTTATGTAACTTTTAAATGGTTTAATATAACTTAATAATTTCATTTACAAACATAAAAATAATGACGAAATGTTGTGTCATAAGAACTTGAAAAATATAAGCTAAATTAATTTTTTTTTATTTCTATGTGGTGGCATAAATGTTTTGACAAATATCTTTTAATATAAGTAACGAAGTTTAAACTTAAGAAAAGTAAAGAAAAAAAAAAAGAATTTAGTAAATTATGTAATTTTCTTTGGTTTCAATAAATTTTTGCAGGCGTTTCAATTATATTTTAATCTAGACTTTGAGGTGGCCAGTCCAATGTGGTAACAACATCCTTCAAAAATGTTGTCTGTCTCCAGAAGTAAAGGCATTATCAATTAGAACCGACAAATATTGTCGTTGGTTTATCGACAGTGACAGTGACAGGAATGAAGCCACCCAGTCCATTATTCGCCTTACGTCCCCAGAACACATTTTTACTTTTACTTGTTTGCCTTTGTACCATTGGCAATCGTACAAAAATGTATTTTTTGATGAATTATACTCAAAGGAGCTTTTATCTTCCCATAGAACGCTTCTCCGTAGCTCCTTTGGCTTATGCGAAAAAAGACTTTTAGCTTGATTGCTTTTGTTATATATGGAACGTCCTTGGCTTTATAAGTCTAAAAATCACATTCTTTTAAGCGTCGACGTACTGTGCGCTTACTACTTGGGGTCTTAGCTGTCAAAGTAAAATGATCTGCTGCATATTGGGACTCGGTCTTCACTGTATTGCGCTTGGCACCGGATCTTTTTAGGTTACGGATGTCATTATGCTTTTTAAACTATTTAATTTGGTAGTGCACAACTTGACGTGACACATTTAACTCATTGGCAATGTCTTTGACAGCCATTCCAGGGTTAAACTTTGCTACCATTGAAGAGCAAATTTAGCTCAGCTATTTTAGCCATTGTTATTTACTAATTTTTAATAACTTTCTACTTTAAGAACAACGTTTAATATTGATCAAAGTTAAACACTGAAGTTGTTTGATTCTCGCGTGCTTAAAAGTGTGAAAATATTTCCATAAAAATGCTGCCACGCAAAAAGCTGTCGTCTGCATGCATTCTTATCAGCACAAAGAGAATGCAAAAAGTAAAGGAAATAAAATTTGGCTTGCACATGGCTTAAAATATATTCTTTGTTTTGCGCTTAATTTTCGCAACGTTATTTGACGATTTCTAGTAATGGTAAGTTTAATAGTCAAAAAGAGGTTTCGTCAAAATAAATATGCCGACTAGGGAAGATACCCGTGACTCAGTCAAAAATATTCCAAACTAAGTATTTTCCCTACAAAACAATCGATGTTTAGGTGGCGCCATCTGTCTAATTGCATGCACAACAGTAGAAGCTAAGAGCGGGCAGCACCCCCAATCCCCGCTAACAGTTCTGTAATTGTCTCTCTCTCTCTCACCCTCATCTGCTAGCAGCGGCAGAACAGCGGCCGATCAGTGGCTGAGCAGCGGCAGAGTGAAAGTACACACTTTCACGATTTGAGGGTGTTAGAGGGGGCGTGGAGCAGTTTTGAAATGAACTACTAGAATCTGCAAGCCCCAAATCATTAGCTTTTATAGTTTCCGAGGTCTCGACGTTCATACAGACGGACAGAAAAACGGACATGGCTAGATAGACTCGGCTATTGATCCTGGTCCAAAAACGCCTTCTTCTACCTGTTACATACTTTTCTACGAATGCACAAAACTCTTTAATCTACGAGTAACAGGTATACAATTTCTTTTTTTAATTGCCAAAGTATAAAGTTTTAAGACTTAGGAACTCAATTGCAAGAGTGGTAGCCCTATGTTCTTTCAAGATTAAGGTAGGAATATTTAGTCACAGCTAACAAAAAAAAGTTATGAATACAAAACTCAACATTTATGTTGTTTCAATACTTTTTATGTCACATAAAACTCTGCTTAGTGAATCTTAATTCAAACAAGACAAGAAGAAAGCTTCGGCAATCCGAAGTTTATATATCTTAGCAGATATTAGAAAAATTAGATATTCTTTACAGCATCTAAATATCGATTTATTAGCGTATATTTTTAAATTATTACTATTCCTATGGTAGTTATATAATATCGATTTCTGATGGTAATAAAATTAAAAACGTAATTCTGATTTATTAAACCATTACTATGTCTAAACGGTTTTTAAATATTTGTTATTAGTATTTTGATAGTTCTAATGCGATTTTTTTTTCATTTTTATTTGCGATTGTTCCTATGGGAGCTATATGGTATAGTCGCCCGATCCAGCTCGTGCCGACTCATATACTACCTGCAATAAAAAGACATCTTTTGGAAGAGTTTCATGCAGATAGCTTTAAGACTGAGAGACAAGTTTGCGTAGAACAGACGGACGGACGGACAGACGGGCGGAGAGACGGGCGGACAGACGGACATGGCTGGATCGACGCTCCTAGTGATGCTGATAAAGAATTTATATACTTTATAGGGTCGGAAATGTCGCCTTTACTGCGTTGCAAACTTCTGACTTAAATTAATATACCCTCTGCAAGGGTATAAAAACAAAACAAAACATTTTTTTTACCTGATTATGTTGATTTTGCTCAGCCATTGCCTTCTCTTTTGCTTGCCGTTTACATTTGTATCTGTGATTTTGGAACCAAATCTTCACCTAAAAATAAATAGAAAACTCAATAGAAATAAACCATTAACAAACACAAAGCGTCAAAAATGTGATAGGCCCTATATATCAGACACTTATGGGAGACTTTTCAGTGAAAAAAAGGCTTTCATGATATGCAGAACAATTGGCGGTAAGGCTAATGCACTTGTCAAACTTATTTGAATTTTGCACATTTATTTGGAAACGACCGTTGCCCTTCCCTTCGATCTTTTGAGTTAACTTGTAGTGCTATAATTGTTTGTTTATAAACACAGTTAACAATGAATTGTAATATTATTATTTAATATAAAATGAAAGCAGCTTACCTCCGAAATATTTTTATAAAAAAGCACATGCGTAGACTGAGAATTGAACCCTTATAAACTTGTCTACGAGTCTTCTAACTGTTTGTGACCAACTACTTTCGCGAATTTGAATTTTGAGTAATATATTTGCGGTAATTATTAGAAATGACAAACAGCTAGATAGCATTAATAAAATAACAGTAAAAGCAAACCAAACAAATAAAACATATCACACATCTCGTAATTAACTTGGGTCCCCAAAATCTTTTGAAACTATGTTAAAACGAGAATATCATTCTGAAGGAAGAACTCATGAAAGTCTGACATGAACAACTAAAGGACCAAGGCATCATTCAAAAACTCTAAGCGCAGGTAAAACAGAAAACCTAATTTTTAGAGGAATAATCTAAAAATGAATATATCTATCCATTCAAGCGGCTAGAACCATTTCGGAACATCCATTCGGAAAAGTAGAGGCGGCGAAACAAATGAGATATATGTACATACACACGTTAACAAGTGGTATGGTTTTTAATTTTTTTTTTCCTGAATCAATATGTTGAGAATATCCTTTAAAAAGTCAAGTCAATCCAAATAAAACTAACGTTGTTACAGCGTTTCAAACGACCGGCCGTGCTACTAGATTGTTCACGTATTTAAATCGATTTTTTTGAAAACGTCTTCTTTGAAGTTCGTGAACAACAAAACACAAAATCTACTGAACCGAATCTTTTGAAAACTTGAACTGATTTATGTGAAAGTCAACAGGTTATCACGAGGATTTTTTTAAATTATTAATTAATTAATTTAATTATTTTACTTCAAATTGCTTAAAAAAATAGAAAAAACTAGCAAACCCGGCGAGCTCCGTTTCGCCACCAGATGGCTTCCTGTTATATAAAACTTCGTTTGGTTATTAAAAGATGAAGAAAAAGCAAACTTCGGTAAGACGAAGTTCATATACACTCAGAAAAAAACAAGAGTTTTGTTCTTATTTTAAGTATAAACGCTCATGAAAGTGAGTTAAGTTAGGAAAGTTCTTAATTTTATCATAAATTCTGTTTTTAAGAACGTTTCATTCTTAAACTATAATTCTTTATTTAAGAAATTTTTGGTCGATAATTAATAGTAAATAGTACTTAAATTAATATTGACTTCTGCTTAAATTAAGTTTTAATTCTTTTTAAATCAAGTATAACGTGCACTTTATTGAAATACGAATTATACTCGCATCAAGAATTAAAAATTCTTTAATCAAGAAAGATCATTATTTGGGTTAAGAATACATGCGGCTTAAATAAAGAACAATAAATTCATATTTTAAACATTACGAACTCTTTAAAAAATAATATTTTAATCTCAAATCAAGAAAGATACTATCCCAATTTAAATAAATAAAACTCTTAGCATGAGCACTATTGGTTCTCATAATAAGAAAAAATTTTGCTTTATTTAAGAGCATAAAATCCATTTCTAAACATAAAAAGTTATTAAGAAAAGCACTGCTATTCCTTGAATTAAGGAAATATATGGTGCGTTATTTATTAAATTAAACTCGCAAAAACTTTGGCTTTTTGGCATTTAAAATTTTTGTATTAACTTTACGTTTTATTTGTTAAATTTATTGTTTTCTTATAACTAACTGGAAAAAGGGACTACAATTTGTATTGTATTGTTGATATGTTTTAGATATTAAACATATTTTAGCCTTATATACGACTTTGAATTGGTAACAGTATATACATGTATTGGAAAGGTAATAAATATACGAATAAATATACAAAACGCATATTCCATAAATACTTGAGTGGACCGCACTTCTTAATTGCAGAGGCAAATGGACCATGAAATGAAATGAAATTATTTTATTAAAGTTTTAGCTGAAGAAATAACTTACCTCTGCCTTCATCCATGATAACATCTTCTCCCGAAACCTCAGTCGGGGTCCCAACGGAGGCACAGCTTCCCTTAAATTTTCTTCCGTTATGATATATTTTAAATCACTATATCTTATTTGAGCATCTACAAATTTAAAATTAATTTTGAAATTGCTTATAATTATATAATTTAATTATAATTTAATAATTTTATTTATTAAAAACGCATTTGCTTACTCATAAATTGTACACTGGTAAAAAACGAAATATTGAATCTAAATATGTGAATATTAAATTGACACATTTAATATCAAAATATTTAAATTAAATATTAAATACAAAGAATATTAAATTGCATGACTTAACATGTTTATAATTAAGTTAGTGTGAAAAATTGTGGATTTAAAAGGGTTGATATTTAAGTTTAATATGGCTTATATTAAAATAAAATGTTCACATATTGAAATCAATATTTCCATATTTAAAATAACTAAAACCTGATTAGTTTAAATATGAATATATTATGTCATGCTATTTAATATGTATTGTATTTAATATTATGATTTAATATGAAGTTTGCCAATATCTGAGTAACGTATTAAAATAAAACATTTCATTTTTTTATCATACGTATGTATACGTATACGTATGTATACATGTATATGTATGTGTAAAATACTATGTGTGCACATAATTAGTTCACGTGCTCGAGCAACCAAGAATAATTTGCAGATCTTTTAAAAAAATGTGTATATACAAACGAACATAAATACGTACAGAACACGTAGGAATGCATGTTTAAATAGTAAGAAAACCAACTTAAAAGTGATTGTACCCATAAAACGTACATAAATAAAAGAGCGGTACGTAGCTTGTTCCAGGAAAAAAATATGTTGAAACTTTTCTATACAAGCTATGTACGTACGTACCGCTCTTTTTTTTACGTTTTGTATGTATGATCACTTTTAAGTTGGTTTTCTTACTATTCTCTAAGCGTCTTTATTTTATTTATTATTTATTTTTTTAGGATTGCAGGTGCATTAGGCTAGGTTCCATAATCCGGTCGCGCAAACACGTTCTTTTAAGTATATAAATAAATAGTACATAAGACAAAACTCCGACGCGCACTTTTATTAAATTAACTTTTTATTAGGATCGGCTTGTATTACTTACCTTTAAGGTATTCACAAATGTCTTTACATTCGTTTTCCTTCAGAAATTCCTTCAGCTTTTTGTCTTCCGCACTCATTTTCACACTTAACTTCAAACTTAAAAACGAGGAGCTTCTTCCTAGAGCTGGCCTAAGCACTCAAAATAATATCGATTGTCGATAGACGCTCTTTTCAGCAATTGGTCATACCACTCAGATTTGGTGATGTTATAACTCTATTCTATATATCCTCCCAGGCGTAGTTTTCCAACAAGAATATTATTTAAGCAACAACTTTTAGTTTTTGTTTATGTTGGGGCTATAAACAAAATAAAACAAAAACAAGAAAGGAAGCAAACTTCGGCAAGCCGAAGTTCATATACATGCCCTTGCAGCTATTGCAAGAATAAAATATTTTTTAAAACATTAAAATTATGATTTACTTGCGTATATGTCTAAAAACATTGAAGCTATGATGATTTGCAGGTCAATTATTAGATAGTTATTTTATATATTTTTATTATTTTTATAGGAGCTATATGATATAGTCGTCCGATTTTGATGAAAATTAGTACGTAACTCTGAAATATTTAATTATTACTACATGTCGAAAAAAAATTGAAAAACAGCAAAGTTATAATTTTTTTGTATTTGTATATATATGATATAGTCGTCTGATTTTGATGAAATTTAAACCTTAACTCTGAAATATTTAACCATTACTGTATGTCGAAGAACTAAAAAAAAAATTGAAAAACAGCAAAGTTATAATTTTTTGTATTTATTTTTTCGATTGAAAAACAGCAAAGTTGCAAAGCTTGGGCGAACTAACTCAAATGGAGATTTGCACAACTTTCCCAAAAGTTGTCTTTCTATTGCAGATACTACCTGCAGAACGAGGCGGATCGGACGACTATAGCATATAGCTCCCATAGGAACAATAGAAAATAAATAAATAGAAAAGGTTTGCTTATATGTGACGGAATTTTTTTATAACACAGCTCGGTACAAAATCAGGACCGAAGAGAAAAACGTCTTGATTGTTTGCAGATTTTGTAAAACATCATCCTCACTAATTAGGGCCGAGATTATAAAGTTGGAGTGAGGAAGAGGGTACGGGTAGGATTATGTGTTATCGTAACTAAAAAACGAGTACGTGGACTGGAAAAATTTTGCAAAAAAGTCACTAGAGGCGGATGTCGTATCAAGGTGAATGCAAGATGGAAATTGTCGCAATATTCGTTTCGAATTAAAAAATGCGTAGAACTGCTTGGGGTTGTCTTCTATTCTGCAACGGTTTAGGTAACTATTGTAGCATTCGGAATTGTGGACTAAGAAATGAACGAGCAATAAGATACCTCGAATGGTCAACTTGCAGCCCGGTTCCCTTAAATTTTTATAAAGTCTGGACATGAAGTTTTTTAGGAAAGAGAGTCTACGAGAGAACCACGGGGGCTTATAAGACGCGCTTGCAGTATGAAATGATTGAGCGAACGTTTCTAAAGCTGAATAGAGTATACCATAAAACTGTTTTACAACGTGTAAGGTATCATCGTTTGAATCTATAAAAGACAAATCTAGTTCCGATAAATGCCTATTCGTTTCTGCGAATTTAGCTCTTCGAAAACGGCGAAAAGATGCTGGCTCGATTTCGGTACACGACAGTAATGAAGCTGA